ACATGAATGAGGGCGGCTGTGGCTGATTACCTTCTAACTGAGCAGGGTCAGAGGTGGCTGCTCGCCGCGGCTCGTGGGGGAGGTATTCTCTGTGACCTGGCAGGAATCATTGCCGAGGGCAGCCTGGGCCAGCCGGTTCACACGGCTAATGAGGACAGGGTCACGGGTCCGAGCCCTCCGGAGGCCAGTTATCTGCAGGCCGCGGGAAGATCTGCTTCCCAGCCGTGGTCCGAGCGCTAGCGCTGGGCAACCATCCTGCAAGCCCGTGCCTTTGTCCAGGGGACGGCTTAGGGGAGACCCTTCATCAGAGGAAAGCGGGTTCCTGTTTACATCTGCCCGGGATCTAGGGCACAATGACCAGCACATGCTGAGGAGTCACCGTGGGCCAGGCTCTGTGTTGAGATCCTCTGTGGTGTTTCTCGCTGAACCCTCACAGGAGGGTGTCATCGTCCCCCTTCCCACATCAGAAAGCCAAAGCTTCGCCCTAGCTTGTTTGGTTCAATGGATAGAGCTTCAGCCTGCAGACTGAAGGGTCTCGGATTTAATTCCAGTCAAGGGCACATGTCGGGTTGTGGGCTCGATCCCCAATGTGGGGTGTGCAGGAGGCAGCCGATCAATGATTCCCTCTCATCATTGCTGTTTCTCTCTCTCTCTCTCTCTCTCTCCCTCTGAAACCAATAATATATATTTTTAAAGAGAGAGAGAGAGAGAGAGAGAGAGAGAGAGAGAGAGACTGCACCTGGAAAAGCACCTGTCAGGTCAGGTGAGATTCCTCCATTCTGGCAAAGTGTGGACCAGGCAACCTTGACCAGACCTTCCCATCTGCAAGTCCGGATTGCCCTGGCCCCCTCCTTCCCTCACACTCCCCGCCCCTCCTGTGTCATCAGGGGGCTCCCGGGCTGCTCCCATGATAACACTAGAGCCCCCAAAGCTCCGGGATCTGGACCAGGCAGAGACGTCTCTGATGGCAACCGCCCTATGAAGTCAACACTCATCCTGAGACGCACAGGCCCACAGGCGCATCTGTTTTGGGGGGAGCTGCTGGCTGGGAGCCAGAGTCTCTCAGGATCAGCGATGGGGCGTCCCAGCGTCAATGGGGCTCTGTGGTGGCGGGAGGAGAGGACGCCCTGGCTCAGGAATGCGCCCTCCGAGCCCGGAGCCAGCCGCCCTGTGCCACGAGGAAAGCGCAGACACTGCGCTGCGGTGGGTTCTTAAAGCGCATTCTGTGCACTGAGGGGCCTTGGCGATGTGGAGAGCGCACCCCCCAGGCCATTAAATGCCCAGACAGCCCGGGCCAGAGACAAGAACCAGCAGCCAATGCGCTCAGGGCAGAGCGTCTCAAACAAACCAACCTGTGGTGGAGGCGTTTCCCAGCCGGTAAATACCGTCTTTCAGGGGCTTCCCAAGGAGACGGAGCCGCCCCCAGCCGCCCCCAGCCGCCCCCACGGCCATAAAAGGGCCGCACTGTCTCCAAGGAGCGAGCAGCCAGACACAGGCCTGACCCCGACCCGCAGCCACCCCTTAATTTAGGGCCCTAATCGGTGGAGCCTGACCTGTGGGCGCTGCCGGGGGGTTTACTCTGGGAAGAGCACACGGGCCCCTGAGTGAAGTGGCGGCCGTGGGTGGGAAAGGCCGGCTCTCACCGATGCTAAGTGGGACGCTCCGAACAGACGGTGTGTTGGCAGGAGGCGGTTCGGGCTCCCATTGGGCTGAGGAAACCCCGGATGCCCCCAGGGAGACTGCCTGCAGCAGCCAGCGGGCTCTGGCCTCCGTCTCCCATGCCCTTCCCCCCACACGTCTTTTCAGGGCGTCCTCTCACCCAGCTTTTGCCCCACCAGCACCTGCTCCTACGGACAGCTTGGTTCCAGCCCCTCCAGGAGCTGCTGGGGAAAGTGACGTGAGCCCCTGCGCCTCATCTGTCCATGACCACTGTGTCGCCAGAGGCAGCTCAGTGCCCGTCGTAAAGCGGAGACTCCGGAAATCTTTGCTCAAAGAACGAAGAGACAAAAACAGTCTGCAGTCATCCATCCATCCATCCATCCATCCATCCATCCATCCATCCATCCCTCTATCCATCCATCCTTCTATCCATCTATCCATCCGTCCATCCATCCATCCATTCATCCAATCAGCATTGCTCAGTGGGCATGGCTTGTTACAAAAACACTGACCCCAGCCCCACCCAAATTATAATGAATGAGTGGGAGGGATAGTTCTGAGTAGCTGCTGCCCCAAATTAAGGAAGGACTGCTAACTAGTAAGATAGAAAATAAATAGATGATAGGTAGATAAATGATTGGTAGATAGATAGATAAATGATAGATACATACATACATAAATGGATAGATATGATAGATAGACAGATAAATGATAGATAGATACATACATAATTATTTAGACAGGAACTATAAGAAATTATCTAAAAAGTGCTGTTAGAACTTGCATAATTGGTTCCAATTATTGAGGGAGGGAGGGAGCTGCCTGTAGAAGGAATGCAGGGCCTCGCTGTATCCAGGGTACAGACAATCAGCAAGGACACAGCCTGAGAGGCCCAAGCACAGGGAGATGAAGGCCTCTGGTCCCACATGGGGACTGTTTTGACTTTCTCTAGAAGCAAAGCCACCAGAGACATTCATGCGAAGGCCAGCTGGGCACGATGCCCCTGCAGTACCTTTCTGACTTGAACTGTGTGGAGACCTCCTGCCTCTGCTCCCAGCACACCTGGGGCAGGTGGAGGCACACTCTCCTGCCCCCTGCTGGCCTGAAAACGCCAAGGAAGAAGGCCTGGCACAGCTTACCCACATTGCATTCATGCACTCCCTTCCTCCCTAATCTTAGGAGACTGTCAGCATAGAGGCTCCCCACCTCCTCAGAAAGGAGAGAAGGTGGATCCTGGCAGCAAATCCCTGTCTGGTTCCTTCTGTGACAAGTAGGACTAGGCTGATTTGAAGCCATTTAAAGCCAATCTCAGATAACCCAGGGCTAACTGGATTCAAATGCAAAGACCCCTGATGTTTAAAAAAACAAACAAACAACTAGTGATGAGTGCTCTACTGCAGGCTGTGAAGCAGGAGAGAAGAGCAGAGGCCAGAGTCCCTACCAGAGGGAGGGGCATCCTTAGACATGCTCCACTGCCTGAGAATTTCTAAAAATTGAAGAGTTCAACGTCCCAGACCAGAGACCCACTCCTCCTACCCCCTGGTTTTGGGGCTGCCCGTGGGATCACAGCAGGGACACCCAGGCTTCCAAGGCGTCCCTCACTGTTGTCTCGGTTCAGTTCACTCGAGAAGAGCTTATTGAGTATCACCTACCTGTTAGGCACTGGGTAGGTTCTTTGTAGACATTATTTAATTTGATTCAATACCAACCCAATAAAGGGAGAAAAAGGTAGTGGGGTGGATGAAGTTGTCTGGCAGAGGTCGCCCAGCGGTAACCTCAGACTCCAGCCCAGACCTGTGCAGCCACAAGTCTTCCTGAGGACGAGCTCCCTTCTCCAAGAAGACAGCAAATCCCCACATTTTTGTTACCAGGAAACCCCCAGATGGGCTCAGGCTGCCTGTCGCTGTGTCCAATAACAAAGGCAGGGTCAAATCATAGAAGACATTTATTGAGAAGGCCAGCCAACCAAGAAGAGAGGGTGCTTACAAGCATTCAATGGGGGACAGGGTTATACAGGGGAAGGGCCTGGGGTGAGGCTGAGGATGGAATGCAGCTATGCACAGCCCTGGAGGTCCCCAGACATCAGCTATTGTCCTTAATCATCAGGAAATGAGATGATGATGATGAGATGATGTTTTGACTCCTGGTGGGTGGGTCTGACCATGCTTATTGGTTCTGCTTACTGGGTTCACAGCTGAGTAGCTGAGTCAATCACTTCCCACAGGCCTTGGGAAGGAAACTTAGGAACAACTTAACCCCCTATTCACATAAGTACTAGTATACTAGTATTAAGATTTAAAATGATGTGATTATTTTTCAGATTAATGCAGGTGCTCTATCTATCAGATTATAAGTCCCCCTATCATTTGCACCAGCCCTGCTTTCCAATGGGTTGACCAAGGTTGCAATATTTTGAACAGTTCCTGTGCTTGGCTGAATTCATTTAGAAACTATATACCCTGCTTACTGAGCGACATTCAAGCTCTTCACGGCTTCTGCCTGGGCTCAGCATGAGACAACAGAACCATAGTAATCCCGGCAGAAGGGCTGGAGTTTCCAGAAACACTGGAAACAGCTCTAAGTTCCCCATAACTCACTCTTACCTCCCAGAGCTCTTTATGGGAATTATTCAATACAACCAATGCAGTGTTTAAAAGGAAGGTTCTAGACTCTAGAGGCTATAAAAAGAAGCAGTGTTGACCCCCTCTGCCCCAACCCATTTCTCCCAGCCTATTCCACGTTAAATGCAGCAGGGAGGCAGCAAAGGAGAAGGGAAAAGGGGGGGGGGGACCCTGCTTACTGAGCGACATTCAAGCTCTTCACGGCTTCTGCCTGGGCTCAGCATGAGACAACAGATTTCCCACAGAATCCATAGTAATCCCAGCAGAAGGGCTGGTGTTTCCGGAAACACTGGAAACAGCTCTAAGTTCCCCATAACTCACTCGTACCTCCCACAGCTCTTTATGGGAATTATTCAATACAACCAATGCAGTGTTTAAAAGGAAGGTTCAGAGGCTATAAAAAGAAGCCAGTGTTGACCCCCTCTGGCCCAGCCCCATTTCTCCCAGCCTATTCCACGTTAAATGCAGCAGGGAGGCAGCAAAGGAGAAGGGAAAAGGGAGGGCGGGGGGAGAGAGGTGGGAGAGCAGAGCAGAGAAAGGGGTCTGCCTTTACTCACAAGTCCCAAAGCAAATCAAGGAAAGTGTCTGCCATCACCAACAAGCTTCCTTCTGTGTGTCAGTGCTGCCACCTTCTGGTGTAAATTATAAATTCATTAGAAAATAGCGCCAATCTGAGTCATTCAATAGAAGAAGCACAAGAATGTGATCCTATGAGTTTACATATATATCCCCCAAGTATTCCTGGGATCTATTTCAACCAGAATTAAATGTATCTACTTTTCAAGCTCCTACCTTTTCAGATATACCACTGATCTTTTAAATTATACCACTGAGTGCCTGGGCAATTAGAGAAACTCCTTCAATGTTCTCCCTACATCCACGTGGGCCCCCAACCTTCCAACCCATCCCCCCACTCAGCAGCCAGAGTCGTCTGTGGTTTGTGACAACATGGACCAACCTTGAGGGTCTTGTGCTAAGCGAAATAAATCAAAGACAAAGACTTATCACTTATTTGTGGAATAGATATAGACTCAGATACAGAGAAGAGCCTGGGGGTGTTTGCAGCAAAGGACGGACCAGGACTGACTAGCCTCACTGGACGGACTCCCTGCCTGCCCCCAGGAGGGCTCAGGCCTCAGCAAGCTGGCTCAGCACGGAGAGGGCCCCATAGAGGGCAGACAGGGGCTCCTTGGCTCTCGGGTCCCAGGTAGACCTGGGGCTGTTCAGCTCCATCTCCAGGCCACACTCGTCCAGCAGCCCATAGGTAATGGCCAAGCCCTCCCCCTGGAGTGGGGCCAGGAGCTCAGGCTGGAGGGTAAAGGGAGTGTTCTCAGAGCAGTTGAAGTTGGGCTCCAGGATGCTCCTTACCTTGAAGAAACAGTATCAGATGTTACAGGCCAGCCTCTGAGGTCAGGAAGAGAGAACCTTTGGTCCCAAGGGCCAGGGGTCATGCAGGGTGACTGTGGGGGCAGGAGCTCTGGGGTCTCGACTTGTTCCTATATTGCGGTCAGTGTGACCACGGACACGTTGTTGGAAATCACTGAGCACTGGCTCCTCAGCTGATAAATAGGGACACTGACACTTACTCAGCAGAATAGTGGGGTTTGGAATTGTGTGTGTATGCCTGTGTGTGCAATGTGTGTATGTACGCGTCTACACACACATACGTACTTACATATATATGCATACAGAGAGAGAGCGTCCAATTTGCAAATGGTACCCTTGTGAGTACAGCAGGGGTATAACTCAGATACCCTGAGCTCCCCAAACCTGTATTCCTAGATGGCTATTTTAGAACTGGGGGGGCGGAGGGGGGATCTGCAGGGTTGCCATGGAAACTGAGACCTTCCCCAGGTAGACTCATGCCCACTGGGCCTGTTTCCCAGACAGAGATGCAGCTTGGATTTCCCAGGCCCACACCAGGACCTCCCCTCCCCTCCCAGCAGCAACCCCAGTCATCTCTCCTTTCTCAGAACCATTCTTATCCTGCTTCCCTCACTCTTTTCCAGGACGCCGGCCCCTGGGGGTTGCTCACCAGGTCCCTCTGCGGAAGGAGGATCCTCTTCTCCATGGACTGAGCCAGCAGAACATGTTGGATGTCACTCAGCACTGGGGACAGGGGGACATTTGGGGAAAGAGTCAGATGTTCCTGTCCCCACGGTGAACTCAGAGACCTTTAGAAGCGAACTCTGAGGCAGAGGAATAAAACTCGCTGGCGTGAAGGTCAAGTTCCCTGCCCTGGAAAGTCCCCCTTCTGCTCATGCTCATGGGATGGTCTCCAGGAAGCCACCTAACATGGTCCAGGGTGGGCTTCTGTGGCTGGACCTGGCATCACCGCCCCACTGATCCGCTGCATGAACCTGGCTGGCCTTGCAGGCCTCAGGCTCTGTCACAGGGCAAGCTCATCACACTGAGCCCTGCTGACCTCGGAGAGGCCTGTGATGTGAGGGTGAAAAATCATAGCATGTCAAGGGGTTTGGAGAGGTGGCACCTAATGCAGCCCTTTTGGGGCTCTGGAGGGCCCACCCCCATTCTCTTCCCAAACCACTCTTACCCATTAAGGCTTCAAGCAGGTAAAGGATGAGGCACTTTGAGCCAACCTCTGGATAGCGGGAGTCCTTTCGCAGTTCAGTTAGGATGGTGCCACCAGGGCCATCCAAATGACCAAAGGGTTCCTGTTCAAGCTATAGGAGACAGGGCTTATTAATGATGGTGATAATAACATCAGTGACTTCGCCGGTCAATTCTGCGTCTACAAGTGATTAACCAAGGAGTGGGGGTAATGGCTCCATGCACCCCCAGGAATATGGAGCACCCCCAGTCTGTGAGGGCTGTCTTCCAGGCCCTGGTCGTTGGGCACATGACATAGTCTCCAACCTCAGACATCCTTCTCATCCCACTAAGATTACCCCCATTTTCCTTTCCCCACACACCTTGGCTGTGCCCCTGAAACATACCCCATGTACAAGTCGGATCAGGCTGAGGAAGCAGCGGGGCCCCTCACCTTGTCCATGAGGTCCTGGAGAGCCTTGCGGTCCTGAAGAGCCTCGCGGTCCCTAAGCACGGCCAGGAGGTTGGAGAACACAACACCCTGCATGTCCTTTGAGAGCTCGGCCGATTTTATGTTCCGGGAAACCTCCTCTTGTAGCAGCTTGAAATCTGCCCATGGGGGCTTCCAGATTAGCTTTGGGAATGACCTTTGGTATAGACCTCTGAACCAAGAGGTCACAGTTTGACTCCTGGTCAGGGATCAGGACACATGCCCAGGTTGTGGGCTCAATCCCCAGTGTGGGGTGTGCAAGAGGCAGCCAATCAATGATTCTCTCTCATCATTGATGTTTTTCTCTCTCTTTCCCTCTCCCTTCCTCTCTGAAATTAATAAAAAAAAAAATTTAAGGGAAAAAAAGGAAAGAAATCTGCCCTCGGGCATTAATGCCAAACAGAAAACAGACAATTCTCAGATCAGACCATTCTTCTCCTTCCAACACGAGCAAAATTGCTCTTCCCTTCAAGCTGCTCACCCAGAGCATCTCTGAAGATGACATGGTTGAGCTCTGGGTTGGAATTGCCACAACCGGCTAGAAAGATGGAAAGTCTCTGCTGAGATGAGGTGGGGGTACATGCAGGGACGAAAGGAGAGGATCTGGGAAAGGGTCACAGAAAGAGGAAGAAACTGACCAGATGCTCACTTCTGACACGTGGGAAATAATGTGGGTTCTAGACTGGACTCCAGAGATGAAAATGTCAGAGATTCCAGCATTGGACTTCAAAATGAGGGTGTCATGACAATTATATGAATATGTATATAAAGTGCTTAGTAATACATGCACTTGTGCCTGTATCTTCAGGGTCTATACGGAATTAACCAAGGAGTGGATGTTGGGGGATGCCTGCTTCTGCCAGGACACCTGAGGTGGCCTCAAGGTGGCCCTAGTGAGAGTGAGAAGTCACTAGAATGGAAGCGCCAGGGAGGCAGGCATTTCTATTTGGTTCACTGTCCTATCCCAGTGCTCAGAAAATGCCTCCTGCCCAATGAGTCTTTAATAAATGCTTCCTGCATGCATCAACGAATGAATGAATAAATGAATGAATGAAAAGTAGCCATGACCAAACTGTAAGTCTGGAAGTAAAGCTCAGTTTTCTGAGTGGTTTGGAAACCTCCAATTTGGGTTCTGAGCTCTGCCGTTCCTACCCAGCAGCCTCAGGTTCCCTCTTAGTGAACACCCAGACCGAGGGGTGCCTGCACCCTTCCTAGAAAGAGAATGACAAGTGGTCATCTCCCTTTCTCATCCCCCAAATTTCCTTGAGAGACACTTCCTAGCTTCCGCCCTCTACTGCTGCCACCCTCTTGCTTAATCTCTTTCTGCTCCATCTCAGTCCATCCCTCCACATTCTTGACCCTTCCTGGCCCTTCGAACCCACAGAAACTATGACCTGTCCCTGAGGCCATGGTGCCAAAGGCAGGGGCACTCTGCCCTGCTCACCAGATGAGTACAATGAGGACCCTCCCGACCCCAGCAAACACACACTCATCTCTTCAGAGGCAGGAACATTCTTTGCTGCCTAGAGAGAAATCAAATTAACACCTAAAAGTTAATCTCTGAAGACTCTGTCTACATTCTGCCCTCTACTCCCTGACCCCTCTTTTCCATCCACCCCTGCCCTTTGCCCAGGGAACCAGAGCCCAGTGGCTCAGATGAGGATTGCCAAGGCAATCATGTGGGGTTTCAGTGGTAAAAAGGGGCCTTGTGGAGGGATCACATCCCACTTTACAGTCTCTGTCCACTTAAGGACTGTGGCTGACATATGCCTGCTGTTGGAAAGAGGAACAGAAGTGGTCACTCACTACAGCTTAGTCTCTGCTCCCCAAACACACACGCTCCTACCCCAGTACTCAAAGGAGACAGGATCTCCCTGTGGACAGGGGCCTGTGTGGGTCACAGCAGTGAGATGAGGAGGTGGTGAAGGAGCCTGTCTGGGGAAGGTTTCCCTGTGGGTTTGTCAGGGCTGAGATTAGACCATTCCTCTGGGGACAGGATGTAGATAAACTGGTGAGCAGGGTGTTTATGGGTCAAAGAGGGTCAAGGTACCCCTATGTTCATAGCAGCACAATTTACCATAGCTAAGATTTGGAAATAGCGTAAGTGCCCATCAGCAGATGAGTGGATTAAGAAACCGGGGTACAGCTACACAATGGAATGCTATGCTGTTATAAAAAAGAAGAAACTTACCATTTGCAACAGCATGGATGGACCGGGAGAGTATTATGCTAAGTGAAATAGGCCAGTCAGACAAAGATAAATATCACGTGATCTCACTCATTTGTGGAATATAATGAACAACATAAACTGATGAACAATAGAGCCAGAGACATAGAAGCATCAAACAGACTGTCGAACCTCAGAGGGAAGGCAGGGGAGGGTGGCGGTAAGAGATCAACCAAAGGACTTGTATGCATGTATATAAGCATAAGGCATGGACACAGACAGTAGGGAAGTGAGGGCATGTGCTGAGGGATGGGAACAGCCAGGGAGAGGTTAATGGGAGAAAAAGGAGACATATGTAATACTTTAAACAATAAAGAATTTAAATTTAAAAAGGGGAAGTCAAGGTCTAAGCATTATGGCCAACTTACCTGCTGAAAAGGTTTTCTGATCATCATCATCATCATCATCTGAATCATCATCTGTGATATGAAGAATGCCTAGGTGGGAAGAAGCCGGGTCAGCTGAGCCAAGGGTATCCCTGCTGGAGCCTCTCACATCCCAGCACCTGCAGCCCCACACTTCCTCCTCTGGGCCTGGGGTGCAGCTTTGCTCAGGGATCCTGGGGACCCCTTGCATCAGAATCACCCAGACACTTGTGGAAACTCATTAGAATCCCTGACCTCACTCCATACCTTCTGCACCAGGCTCTCTAAAAAGGAAGCTATAACCTGCAGTTTCCATAGGAACCTGGGTGATGCTTATTCACTCTAGTCTCACATTGAAGAACTGCCTTGTCAAAGGAAATAAAATCACCTTCTTCATACACTTTGTCTTCCTCTGCCAGACGTATCTCTTCCCTACACATGTGGGTCCTTTCTACACTACTCCTGGGTAGTTTCACATTTCACGTAGAGAAATTTTCAAAGTTCTGAAATTCCTAACAATCATGTTTACTAGGTAAATGACAAGGGCCAGGAGCCCATGAAGGAAGGAGGCAGAGAAAAAGCAGTCCCATTATAGGAGACCCCAAGACCATGGTGACGCAGTAGCCTGAGAGAAGAGAGTCCAAGGCGGGAATAATCAAGTGTGTGGTTGTTGATGATGATGTGAGTAAATTCCAGGGAAAACAGACTGCACTGGGGCGAGGCATGGACAGTAGGTAGGGAGTGAAAAAGAGGAACAGAAATGGACACTCACAACAGCATAGTCTCTGCTCCCCAAACACAGAAGATTCTTGAAGGAAGTTGGCAGTGAGGGGACACTGGGTGGGAAGAGGGGACATGCGTGACTAAGGGGTTATGAGATGGCAGAGAACTGACCTTGTGGTCAGGTCAGGGGAAGGGTCCAGGTAAACAGGAGAGAGGGAAGATAGATTTGGCTCAGCCACCTTATCAGACATTTATCTCCATCAGCTCTGCAGCTAAGGTCTCACGTTCATTTCATAGATAACATGGAGGACAAAGGAATTCTTATTTTCTCCAAAGCCACAAAGCAAGCAACTTATTGAACTGTTCTGTGTATTTGTTTACACTATGAGCTGTTAGGAGGGTGAAATTAGTTCATGGGAGTGCAATGCTCGCTGCACTGGGCTATTTACTCTTTGTAAAAGTTCCTTCTAGTCACTCCTGGGCCTGAACTATAGAAACAGATAAGCTTTGTGCACCCCCTAGTGGGCAGGAAATGATTTGCAGACACTGCTGTGAGGTTAGTCTTTGGAATCTAACTCCATTTAGTTCACACTTACCAACACCAAAAAACATAATTTTGTCGTTTGAGTTCAGCCACTGACCCTGCAATACTGGAGAGTTCATACTCACTCCATCTACAGCCAGTGACAGGAGGTGACTGACTGCAGGACACATCCTTCACCACATGTTGCAGTGAGGACAATAGTGAACAATGAATATGTACACGTGTGTGTGTGTGTGTGTGTGTGTGTGTGTGTGAGAGAGAGAGAGAGAGAGAGAGAGAGAGAGAGAGAGAGAGAGAAAGTTATATGTGGTGATAGAACCCCCAATCACCAAGGAGACATATCAGGTTGACCTCTACCTGACACTCAACATTTGGGCACAAAGGCACCCAGAACCCTGAGCTGGTTGTTGCATGAATTCACAAATGAAGGAAATAACTAATTAATAATGAAATAATGAATGAACGAATGAATGAATGAAAACTGGGGCTAAGGAAAGTATAAATTTAAAAACAAAACTCGGTTTTCTGAGTTGCTAGAAACCTCCAATTTGGGTTCTGAGATTGGGTCTTCCCTACCCAGCAGGCTTCAGGTTCCCTCTTAGTAAACACCTAGTCAGAAGGGATCCTGTATTCTTTATAGAAAAAGTGGCCTGCTCCCTTTCTCATCTGCCAAATTTGCTTTAGAGACACTTCCAAGGGTTCTGCCCTCTACTGCCACCCTCCTCTTGCTGAACCTTTTCCTGCTTTTGCCAGTCCATCCCTCCAACTTTCCAACCTTTCCTGACCATTCTCAAAACTTTCTTACCCTTCCCCATCCCACAGACCTATGGCCACTCCCCGGGGTCAAGTTGGCAAAGGCAGGTCTAATCTACCCTGATCACCAGATGAGTACAATGACCCTCCCCAACCCCAGCAAACACACACTCACTATTGGAAGTTTCTTCGATGCCTAGAGAGAAATCAAATGAACATCTAAAAGTTAATCTCTGAAGACCCCCAGTTTATCTACATCCTGTCCCCTAATCCCTGACCCCTCCTTTCCATCCACCACTGCCCTTTGCCCAGGAAACCAGAGCCCAGTGGCTCAGATGAGGACAGCAAAGGCAATCACATGGGGTTTCAGTTGTAAAAAAGTGGCCACGTGGAGGGTTCATATCCAAATTTATAGTCTCCTGTCCACATAAGGACTGTGGCTGACGTATGCCTGCTGTTGGAAAGAGGAACAGAAATGGTCACTCACAACAGCTTAGTCTCTGCTCTCCAAACACACACTCAAAGGAGACAGGATCTCCCTGTGGACAGGGGCCTGTGTCACAGCAGTGAGATGAGGAGGTGGTGGAGGAGCCTGGCCAGGGAAGGTTTCCCTGAGGGTCTGGGAATTTATGAGTCAACGAGGGTATTTATGGGTCAATGAGGGTCAAGGGCTCAGCAGGGCCTGAGGTCCAAGCAGAGAACCTGACCAACTCACCTGATGGAGATGTAGCACATAGTAACTCGTCTTTGGTCCACTCACCTGGGTGGAAAAAGACAGGTCAGCAGAACAGGGTATCCCTGCTGGAGCCTCTCACATCCCAGCACCTGCAGCCCCACACTTCCTACTCTGGGCCAGGTGTGCAGCTTTGCTAAGGGATCCTGGGGACCCCTTGCATCAGAATCACCTGGGACACTTGTGGAAACTCATTAGAGTCCCTTACTCACTCCATACCTTCTGCACCAGGCTCTCTAAAAGGGAAGCTAGAACCTGCAGTTTTTATAGGCACCTTGTGATGGTTACCCACTCTAGTCTCATATTGGAGAACTGCCTTATCCACAGAAAGAAATCGCCTCCTTACTGCCCTAAGCCTTCCTCTCCTGACTCTCCTCCCTCACACATCTACTCCTCTCCTGCCCTCCTCCTGGGTGGTTTCACATTTCACACAGAGAAACGTTCATAGTTCTGAAACTTGCCTAACAATTATATTGATGTCTTTGACAAGGGCCAGGAGCCCAGGAAGGAAGGAGGCAGAGGGAAAGCAGTCCCATTATAGGAGACCCCAAGACCATGGTGACGCAGTAGCCAGGAATAAGAGAGTCCAAGGCGGGAATAATCAAGTGTGTGGTTGTTGATGATGATGTGAGTAAATTCCCAGGAGGACAGACTGCAGTGGGGCGAGACAGCAGGTAGGGAGTGAGCAGGGTGCAGAAGATTCTTTAAGGAAGTTGGCAGTGAGGGGATGCTGGGTGGGAAGAGGGGACATGCGTGAGTGAGGGGTTAGGAGATGACAGTGACCTGATCTAGCTTTGTGCACCCCCTTGTGCACAGGTGAGGGGAAGGGTCCAGGTGAGCTGGAGGGAGGGAAGATAGATTTGACTCAGCCACCTTATCAGACATTTATCTCCATCAGCTCTGCAGCTAAGGTCTCACGTTCATTTCATAGATAACATGGAGGACAGAGGAATTCTTATTTTCTCCAAAGCCACAAAGCAAGCAACTTATTGAACTGTCCTGTGTATTTGTTTACACTATGAGCTGTTAGGAGGGTGAAATTAGTTCATGGGAGTGCAATGCTCGCTGCACTGGGCTATTTACTCTTTGTAAAAGTTCCTTCTAGTCACTCCTGGGCCTGAACTATAGAAACAGATAAGCTTTGTGCACCCCCTAGTGGGCAGGAAATGATTTGCAGACACTGCTGTGAGGTTAGCCTTTGGAATCTAACACCATTTAGTTCACACTTATCAACACCACAAAACATAATTTTGAAGTTTCAGTTCAGCCACTGACCCCACAAAATTGAAGACCTCATACTCATTCCATCTACAGCCACTGACAGGAAGTCACTGACAGCAGGACCCATCCTTCACCAGATGTTGCAGGGAGGACTCTATAGTGAACAGTGTGTGTGTGTGTGTGTGTGTGTGTGTGTGTGTGTGTGTGTGTGTTTGTGTAGTTGAGAGAGAGAGAGAGAGAATGTTATATGGGGTGAGGGAACCCCCAATCTCCAAGTAGACATATCAGGTTGACCTCTACCTGACACTCAACATTTGGGCACAAAGGCACAAAGAACCCTGAGCTAGTTGTTGCATGAATCCACAAATGAAGGAAATAACTAATTAATAAAGAAATAATGAATGAATGAATGAATGAATGAATGAAAACTGGGGCTAAGGAAAGTATAAATTTAAAAATAAAACTCGGTTTTCTGAGTTGTTGGAAACATCCAATTTAGGTTCTGTGACTTGGTCTTACCTACCCAGCAGGCTTCAGGTTCCCTCTTAGTAAACACCTAGTCAGAAGGGTTCCTGTATTCTTTATAGAAAAAGTGGCCTTCTTCCTTTCTCATTTGCCAAATTTGCTTTAGAGACACTTTCAAGGGTCCTGCCCTTTACTGCCACCCTCCTCTTGCTGAACCTCT